GGCCGTTGCGAAGGGATATGGATTGGGGGGGTGTCGAAGGTCAAATTGCCGAGTGACGCTATAGTTGAATTTGCCGAGTTTTTCAAAAGTTTGTAAAGGTTAGATATAGGTAATGAGAATCATATTGGTGTGCTAGTAACTGAGGGACACCAATATGGCTCTTGTTTTGAAATGGATGTCTGTTCGTGGGTTGTTGCTAAAAAGGAATCGGGTTGCTTTATATATAAAATATGACATTCTAAGAACAAACAAATATAAGGTCACGAAATCGAAACACACAATTGCAATAACTGCAACCACAGCTCAATGATGAGCGCTATTTTATTTTCGTGCGTTTGTTTTCAGATAGGAGTATTATTTTAATTTATTTATATTAAACATATAAAGCTGAAAAAATTTAAATTTAACATAATTTATACTGTGTTTTCACTATAAGTCCTATTAAAAATCGAGACTGAAACTATGTGCACACGGGTCACGTTTTTGAGCGTTTTTGGAGTGCCGTTTTCAAATTTAGCGTTTAGGCGTCTTGTAATTCACATTGATCGTTTTTCTCGCAACATTTTCTGACAAAGCACTAGTTTTTTATAGTCTTCGTTTCCAAATTCAAACACGGAATTTCATTTTCGCCCTCTATACTTTCCTGTTTACACAATAACAAAGTGCCAAAACGACCAAACGTTTCAGACATAGTGAACGAATTTTTGGCATCGTTTTCACTATTTGAAACGTTTTTGCTTGCTGACGTCGCTTTCATACGTTTTCGCGTGAACAGAACGTACGTGAAAATGGTACTTTCAGTTTCAGAAATTAACGCATTACAACCAAAAACCGAAAAACGCTCGGAAAGCGACGGAAACGGTACCGTGTGCATATAGTCTGAGTAACGAGTGTCTTAGACTGTGGTGCAGACGCGCATCTCCACAAAGTTAGAAAAGTTATCCAAGTATTACCCTGGTTCCAGAGGTTTATTTTTATTATTTTCATTGCGAAGGGGAGGAAAAATAAACCTCTGGTTGAAAGCGGCCGAATTGATTCATTGAGCCGCACCAATCAGTTTGAATTAGGGTCAGATCCTGACTCTGTCTCCTGATTGGATGATCGTATTAAAGCTCTCTGATTGATTATAGATGTTCTATTTGAACCAATCAGAGGACTTTAATACAATCATCCAATCAGGAGACAGAGTCAGGATCTGACCCTAATTCAAACTGATTGGCGCGGCTCAATGAATCAATTGCCGCTTTCAACCAGAGGTTTATTTTTCCTCTCCCCTTCGCAATGAAAATAATAAGAATAAACCTCTGGAACCAGGATATCCAAGTATCTGCATGTGATTGCATTGATATTTTGTTTCAATATTCTCATGGCAATTTGATGAATTTGACTTTTTTATCCCCAGGCGCCGAATAGACAATTTATATTTTTTGTATTTTGAGCAGTCTTAAAACTCTTAGTGCAGGATAGTGTTAACTGGGCTTTTGTACGACCCGATTTTCCAAGAGTTTAAATTTTATGCGTCAGGAAGCGAGTCAAAACGGATATGATCATATGCAACCGATCGATGATACCGATCGCTGTATGCGGTATGTCTTTCAAAACTGTAGGCTGATCAGAGTTAATAGTAATTTCGCTAAAGAACTAAAGAAGACAAGTCCGTTCTTATGGCATGGCTCGTCTTTCTCTTGGCCTTCTTCTCATGTGCCTGTGGAGTCTTCTTGAGGATCTTTCGCCTCTGACGACTCAAAATATTCTCTTTGGCTTTGACTGCGCAGTCTGCGCTTTGTAGTCTCAAACGGATAATTTAGCTGGTACGTCTTTATGTGCTACTCGCACTCGGTTCCCTTATGGCAAGTTTGCTCGTGCCTCTTACGGTAATCGTTGGGCCGTATGTCAGATAACTTCTATAGTCGGCGAAAGTCGAATTACATTCAAGACACTAAAGTTTTAGTCTTTTTCTTTTGGGTTTTGAACCGCGCATAATTGATAAAGAGCCTTCGCTATAAGAGCAGTCGAGCGAAGAACATGCCCGGAAACGTGGGTTTCACATTTCAGCCTCCCGTCGATTTTCGACAAATAAGACTAATAGTATTACTAGAAAATAGAAATACATTTAAATGGTTTTGACATAAGGCCACACAAACCATTATATTAAATCCAAAATTTATCACTTTATTTATCGCCTTCGTTCTTAACTTTTACAATTTGCTGAATGCCGATTTCGCAATTTGCCGAACAGTAACGAAGCAATTTGCCGACTGGGGCCGACTTGCGAAAATTATTGGGGGGGTGAAGCACCCCCCCACACCCCCCCGCTCGCGACGGTCCTGTTAAAATTCGAAATTGTTTCCAATGGGTGTCCCTTAATAGATAATATTTGGTTGAAGTTGAAATATATAAATCAGTGTTGGAAGTTGTTTCCGACAATATAAAAGTGAAACTTATTAAGTGGTCGGGCTCCTTCATACCTGATGGAGCTAAACTTAACAACAACTGAGGCAACAACATATTTTGCTGCTATACTCACGAAAACACAGATAGATGGATGTCTGTGATAGAGACTCTTTTACTGAGATGCCCGGGCGAGCAGCTAAAGTTATGGAAACTAGTATCTGAAAATTACTCTTATTTGTTGAGATACACCTTGTGCAATTTTCCTTAGTTTTGAAAACGTCACTGCACAAGAATGCACGAACACAGGATACATTTCAGTTAGCTACTTCTTAACGATTTAGTAATTAAAATGTTTCGGCTCAGTTACGTTAAAAATTATCAACACTCCGAAAACAGCAATCATTTTCAAAACTGTTTAATCGACATATTATTCAACATAGGTCAACATCACAGATTATGAAATTATTACATATTATGAGCGAATATATACAGGTAAAGAAATATGAAAATGTGTATATATAGGCATTACTGTACGTATGAAGAGTAATTAGTTTTTTAGAGGATTTTAATTGTAACGAAGTATATAACTACAGTACTTAACCTGAGATCAGGCTCTATTTTACAAATAATAGCCTGATACAAACCGTAATCCGATGGCTTTCCACACACAGCAAAGTTTATATTTAATAACCAATCAAAATGTCGCAGGAGAAATTTAAATTTAAATTTCACACAAGGATAACAACAATCTAATTATAGTTGTGATCACTATAAAATATATCAACAATAATAGTATAATCTAATTAGCACCAACCAATCAAATCATAGTTTAAAAATGTTTTTCTCATATAGACCAATCAGATTTACAAACAAAATACGGTTGTAAAAGCATGGACATTTGTTAAGGTTTGTACCAGGCCTATTCATTTATTTATAGGCCTGATCGCAGGTTGATAACTACTCGACAAATATGACGTTCTTTAATTAATTGATTAAAATATATAAATGCAAAAATGAACACAAAAATGAAACTGTTATTACAATTTGAACATCTCAAGAAGTGTTTAAAGTTTTAAAAATCAACTTTCTCGTAAACAACCTCATCCAAATGCAAACTTTGATAATGTGCATCAATGGTAACTCTCCCAGAATTGTTCAGTTGTGAGTACAGTGCTGGTTCTTCGTAATGATTTTCAGAATCGCACAATTGTGGTGGTTGTACACTTGCTTCTCCGCAACTTTCGTAGGCAGGGTTTTCGATTTTACCGATGTCTCTCGTGTTCTCTGTTGTTTTTCTGTTTCTTTGCCGGAAACAACAAACAGCAATGAATATTGATGTCACGATGACAACTACTGATCCAGCCACCGCTCCAATAAGAATCCAGGTGATACTACTTGATAAAGACGTTGAATGGCTTGAACTTGGATCAAGCCCTATCAAAAAATTAAAATCATAAACATTTTTTCATTAGTTGCCGGCTTGTAACAGTTTGTTTCTAATACTGAGAAGCAGCATACCCCGCAAGGGGTTGCGAGAGCATACAATTTGCATTTGTTAATATTTAGTTCGGGTTATTAGTTACTTCACTTCGTTCAATTTACGAACGAAAAATAATCGCATTTTTAGATTGAAGTTTAATGCATGAAATTGCCTTCTCTTAGAACTTAACTTGATTTAAATCGTTGGTAGAAACTCCCCAATTTAAACTGAGACCATCTCAACTTGTTTTTTTGTTATCAAAGGAACCTGTTTTCAATCAACTACACTTGGCTACTAACTCGCTCTAAGTTAAAGCAAGTAATACCATCCCGGAGTAGCTATAAAAAATATTCTACGCTTTTAGAATTTAGAATTTAAATATGATTTAGAAATGCAATTTAAACAATGATGGATATTAGAATGGCGGTAATAAATTTGCACGATCTCATAGGTAGCTAATCCCTATCAGGCTTAAACAAAATATTCAAACACTTATAGAGTCTCAATATATACTCCTAAAATTGATGTAATTAATGAAGAATTTATCTGTCATACATAGACATAAACCGGGGGACAAATGTGTCCTGTGGAATGTACTTACCATCGTTGTCATTAATGGTAACAGTTGTTACTCCCTTAGCTTTGTCAATTTGCACTCTTGGATCGGTAGTTGATAGAGTGACAACAAATACTTCGTCAACTTCAGTTATCAAATCATCCTTGGTTGCTATGGCAATTGTATCCTTAGTAACACCAGGACGAAAGCTTAATTCAGTTGATGAAAGCACATTGAAATCTGCATCACTGGCACTCTCAGGTGAAACAGTGGCCCTAAATATAATGTGAAAGCAGAGGGCGAATCAATTCAGTTGTAAAAAGCTCTTGGAAGTATTTTCCCCCTTTTATTTGTGAGGTTATTCTGTTGTTATGTTTCTATATGAAAGTATATTTTCTGACTCCTAATGATAGTTAATATATACATGAAAATTTTAAACAAAACATTTGGCAACTTGTGGACTGTGCGCTACTATTCAATAAATTTGGAGGAATTTGTGTGTCAGAGTACAAACAATAATCTTAAGAAAATAGAGAAACAAGAAAGCTTACGACGAGTACGTAAGACGCAACGGAGATACTGTATTGTTGTGAACGGATCTATTTGAGGTAATACGTGTGCACATTATTAACTTTTTCAAACACATATATGGCGACTAACGAGAAAACAGAACAAGGTGATTCATAGCCGAGTAGTCGAAACCAGGATTTACTGACGGTAAGGGCAACCGGTATTTCGAAACTCCGATATTGGCCCAAACATTCAGAACATTAGATGAACTTTGTCAAACTATTGGCCAAATATCTATGATGCTAGGCGACATGTGTCAAGACCAAAATATGCTACACCATCAATGACGCAGACGTGGAACACTCCAAGCAAAGTCGACGAGCCAATAAATGCTCGAAAGCTTTGTCTTCATATTCAGAATCCTGTTCTGTTTCTGGAGATGACAGTCGTTCGTGATGATAGTCAACGTCCAGAGCGAAAATTATATAGAGCTCGCTATAAAACTAATCGTAAAACGAACGAATATGAGCTGGATGAATCAATGAAGACAAGTTTTGAAACTAGAAAACTCCTCAAAATAAGTTGTTGACTGCACACAAATTAATTAAGTACCTGATTGTAAATATCTGTCTGGCGATGAATTACCCAGCCAATTAAAAAAGGCAAAGGTGAGCAATGCATGGCTAATGTGAATACAAGGCATTAATGAATACAGAATACATGTTTTTGGCGAAACAACATCTATCCGGCGTGAAAAATTCATGTCAAATGAACTTGGCGCCAAAACAAAGGCATAAATAATCAAAATGATGGCACTTTGCGGCGGGATTATTCCGAAGAGACAAATCGAGACACAGCAGGTGAAAAGGTGTATATCAATAACCATCTGACAATAAATAACCCCTCAATTAGAAACAGTAAATTCTTCTTCCTTCTCGATTTTGTTCCAATTTTGACAATTATTTGCCAGTCCAACGGCTGGTCGCCATGACAAGTTGAGCCCGGACTAAGTGTGTAATTTTACGCCCGTGGTTTCATGGGATATCTACCCACATTCTGAGGTAGATATCCTGGTGTGCTCTGCGTGTTGTTGTTGCTATTGCCTCACAGAATTTCTCTATTTGCTGCTTTCTATTCTATATTTCTGTGTATTTGAATACATATAGTCCGTTTAGTTAAATAATATTAAAAAACTCATTAATAATTCAGGATCGAGCAAAACACAAAGAAAAATCATAAGCGTGTCGTGGTTTTAAA